CCCCCCCCCCCCCCCCCAGCTCAGCATGCAGAATTGTTCGGCTGTCTTTGAAGTGACGTAAGCTGTGTTCCTTGTGAACAGTTTCTGTTACCCAAAGAACCAGCTGCTTGCAAGTAATTTTTTTTTTAAATTTTGTATTTCACTCTGTAAGTGCGGATTATTTTCTTTGATGGTGAAATATTCCCTATTTTGACTACCTTCGTCTTCTGAGAGTTGGTGGATTAATGTATTCGTCATTTTGAAGCATTTTTGTGTTGACTGATCCCGGGAAGGACGACAGAGTTTCAATTCTAACGACGTTTTCCCCAGACTGTTCTGGCGCCACCCTGTTCAAGGTCATTGTGGAGGTATGCGTCCACGCCCCTCGTGCGTATTGATGGCATGTCTTAAGCACGAAACCAATTGAACGATTGTTGATTTTGAATCATAAGTGAGATATCGTCCATCGGATTTCATGGTTGGTTTACCAAAAGCCACGTGAACAATTGACTACTTTAAAATGCACTGATGTTATCTCGGTCTTTGTGACGTCCAACGCTGCACCAAAGTGAAAGGACTGTTTGAGTTGGCATGTGTACACAAGTAACTCGTGTTGTGGAAAAGGTTTTGACAGTCAAAATGACTTGCTTGGGCAGCAGACTGTTCGAAGGTCGAATTTGTCGTGGTTGCAGATAGAGATCACATTGTACAGTTTCCTTCCGTTAGATCATAACTAAGTTTAGCCATGGTTTGATGGTTTGGTTCACCAAGGCTTCGGAGGTTCGTAAACGTCGTCCAGCATACACGGGGCTACAACCCAGAACCAGAAGACCGCCGTGAGAACCTCCTATCCCCACGAAGACAATGTAAAATGATTTAACATTTTAAAAATTGTATTTAAACACTGATGTTGCCATTTTCTGATGCGCGGCAACGTACTTGAAACGATTACCTATTTGACGTCATCAAATGTTTATTCACAGTAATCCATACAAAATAGCATTCAGAAGGAATGTCGTTCCCCAACCTTCGGATTAAGACGTAAATATCTGTAACAGGAAGTGGTATTTTCAAATGCGATACTTAATCGATCTTTTTTAACACGAAAAATGTGAAAATTTTGTGTGTGTATGTTTGCAGGGGTAAGTGTAACCACAATAATTTTGGTTTTAAGTAAGAATTTTAATTTTTCGGTAGGGTTGGGGGGCTTTTATACACTTCCGTGTGTCTTGTCGATTCAAGCTTATATTTTGGAAGAACGCGTGTTACGGTTTAAAGCCTGAAATTTCTTTGTAACTTGCTGGTAATTATCGTAATCTGCTCCGTTGTTTCGTTTCTAATAGGCCACGGAAATTCTGTACGGCATGATGGAATAGCTCGCTATAATTTTGTTGATTGATAATAAATTTATGTTTTAAATCCAAAGTCGGTTACCACCAGGTGGTCACAATTGAATGCATCATTGAGATTCTTCAACCGGTTTAGTTTTTAACACCTTAGCATTTTTTTCTAGTATGCAAGAATTATTTTTAAAATGACAGGAACTATTTCTCCACTACTGATTCATTTTCTGGACCAACGATATTGGATTTCTTTTTATAATTACGGGATAATTTTACAGAAACTGAATCCATTTGTGGTCACAGTTACTTTACCTCCAGAGTTGCAGTTACGTCAGTCTGTACTCGTGGCGAAATCTTACGTAAAGTGAGATTTCAGGTTCTGAAGAGCGTAATAATCTCGCGGAAGTTGACCAACGTTTCAGAGGATGAAGGAGACAGTGACCAAGAAGACTCATCTCCATATTTCAGTTTCGTCAGAGTATGCCAGTGGTTTGTGACTCCATGGAGAGAGTAGCATAAGACAAATAATAGGAACTTGTCGATGGGCGTCAGTTTTGATTGCAAATGGGTCATGCTTCCTTGCGCCGTGTAGTCTGGTAGACTTCTACCAGACGACAACCAACCAGCCGTGAAAACCTCAAATCCTACATCGTTCTTTAAAGCTCGGTAGTTCCAATTTAAATGTTCCCGACCATAAAAATTTATGACGATTGAAATTAATTAAAGCCTTTTTTTCCAGAACCACAACAACAACAACACATCAACCAATCAGAACAACATCAATAACCTCCAGCAACAGCATCACCAGAAGGTCTTGCGATGGGGCGTGGAGACAAATCACAGAGCAGTTGGCTCCCCTGCTCTCGGAACTTCATCTCCGACGGGCACATCTTTCCAGCATCAGACGATAAGCAGGCGTAACTCAAATCCAGTGTCCTCGGACCGCATCAGCGTGTCATCTCTGGTGAATTCGGTGAGCTCACTGATTCTGGACAACATTCGGGAACAACAACAACAGCAGCAGCAGCAGCAGCA